TACCTTTTAAATTTGCAGCTATTTCATCAACCGTAGGGAGTTGAAGGTGCTCTCTTTTGATAGCTTTATTCAAGTCTCTAGGATCGATTCAAAATCTTGGAATTACTTTTTGGTTTTCATACTATGGAGTTGACCCAGTCTGTAGGTTCATCAACTTTCTCGATTATACCATTTTTTTTTTTTTTTTTTTTTTTTTCATTTCAGCTAATTCAAGTTTTAGTGTCTCCTTTAGCTGTAGTGGAATCTTTCTTGAAGGATGTATAACTGGTTGTGTAGATTCATTTAGCACAATGTTGTATGGCTCTACCTGAAAAGACTTCCTTAAATATTTCTTTCACATCAGAGTAATCATTTTTAAATGTAACTTTTCTAGAATTAAAATTATTTTCAATTTTTTTCTATTGTATTGACCCTTTTTAATATATTCAAATCGTTACATATAGGAAGACCTAATACCGTTGGTGAATTAATCTCTACCACATAAAACATTAGGTTGTACATATAATCTTTATATTTGCATTCTAAAATACATTTTTCAATGACTCTAGTGTTTCATTCGAAAATGTTGTTAACCTGCAGTTTGTTTTATGTAGTTCAACACTGATATTACATTTGCCATTGCTCCCGTATCCAATCTACAGCTTAATTTATGCTTGATAACTTTAAAATGTATCATGAAATCATTGTCAAAACTGTCGTTTTTAGTATTTACTAGACCTATAAATAATTCATCTGATTCTGAATCATCTACATTTACATATTTAATTTATTTTTGAAAACACTTTTTCTGCACTCTGAACTGCTTCCAGATTTACCATTGAACTGGCTGCCTTGGGAATTCAAATAAGTTTAATTCACTCTTCTGTCTTCCCACTGGGCTTTATTTACATATTTCTTACTGAAGTTTCCCTTCTTTATGTAGTTTACCTCCTCTGACTTCATTTTTTCAGAATGGATTTTCGAGCTTTCTATACTTTTACACGGATTGATTGCTTTTTCCAAGCTCATTTCATCTTCTTCTAACAGTCTCTGTCACATAGTTTCATCTGCTACCCCACATGTTATGCAAGTCTTAATCAGACTGTCCTCCAGATTCTCTAGCTCACAATTGTTTGCCTTGTTTATAATATTTGTTATAAATTTGTCTACTGACTCACCTTCATCTCGTTTTCTGGTAAACAGGCAATACCTTGCATTTGATACACTGCTTTTGGGTTTGAAATGTGTTTCAAATTTTGTGATTAACGGTTCTAACTTATCCTTTTCTTCTGTTGAGAACTTGAACGTAATATGGATTTTAAACCCTTCGTCCCCTATTAATTATAACAGTTATGTTAATTATGTTGCTTGAAGGTAGTTTTTAAATGTTTGTATGAAAAATTTCCAGTTTTCGTATAGATTACCTGACATTTGCATTGAGTTTATTGCTGCCTTAAATTACAATTATGACCTAATAAAAATAAATTAAATGTCCATTATTCTGGTATGGTTCTATTCAGTTAATGTGGTACTTATTCCGTGGGAATGGGATCTGTTCAAGTTAAACAACCATATATTTCACTCATCCAAAATGTGCAAGCATCATGCACTGATCCAGTACATTTATATTTAGATCAATAAATACATCCCTGTCATCACAAACACCTAAAAAATAAATTTTAATTGTAAATAAGGTATTTGAGGAGTATACCACGCTAAGACAGTATTTAAATTCTATCAAAGAGGTTGGAGATTGGTGAAACCAGTTGACAGATTTTAACATGTGGGATATGGAATTTTGTGTTGTAACTTAAAAGTAACCAATATTATTGACATTAAAACAATTACCTTAAATTATTATATATTATTATTTCAAATATGTATATGCTTTTTACTTAAAAGTATGCCTTAAGCCTACTACTTGGTAGTCATCCTTTGGAGGAATGACTGCCTGGCACCTTCTTGGCATACTTTCTATGCATATCTGACAATTTTGTGGAATTGTTCCACTCCTGTGTCATTCTGCTATTAAGTGCTTGATCAATTGATGCTTTGTAGTTATAATTTTATTAGAAATTTATTATTCATGAGCTTTCAAAGATTTTCTAGTGCATTCAGATCTGGCGAGTTGTCAGAGCTGTTGTCTGGTTGTCAGCAAGGAATTTTGTAACAGTTTTTGCCTTGTGACAAGACATCCAGTCATGCATAAAAATGAAACTCTTTTTCAGAAACCACTCCTGGTTCTTGGAAAGAATTTTTGCTTGCAGTACTCTTAAGTACTGGTCCTGCCGCATTGTTCCTTTGACAATGTAGAGTCTACCAGTTCATTGACTGCTTATGATAGACCACACCATGATGTTTAGGGGGTGCTTTACTAACCATACAATACAATCAGCTTTATCTTTTTCCACATGTCTTCCCCTTACAAATTCAGCTCTATCCATGAGGATCTGCAGGGTAGATTCATACGAAAAACAAACCTATAATATTATTATTATTTTAGAATCATGGACAAATTGATCATATAAAAAATTTAAGCAATGTTATTTCCCTGATTCCAATCATCAATGGTCCAATCTTAGTGATCTTAAGCCAACTGAAGCTTTTTTTCTTCATGTCTGGTATGAGTAGCAGCTTTTTTGCAGGGCGACAGCTTGAAAACACCAGATCCTTTATTCGCTGATGAGCTGTTATTGGTAAAATACTGGTGCCAGACTCATGCATCATTTTCATTCAAAACATTCAAGGTTTTTTGTGTGCAAAGTCAATATCTTGAATTTTTGTTTCATCTCATGGCATTGTAATTTTTTTTACCATATTTTTGTTTCGGTTGTAGGGTCAAATCCAAATTTTCAGTCCACAGTTGCCTTGAAACTTTAGAAATTGATGCTATTTTTTTTTCTGTTGGGAGTGATTATTGTTCAATAATATAATTTTTATTTCCACCATTTTCCTTATTGAGATGTTTTTGGCTTTTCCCATGTTCTGATGTTCTGGTGTAACAAACATGCAATGTTTGCTAAATTCATAAAAAATAGTATACAACTGTCAGAATATTACTAGAGAGCAATGGAATACAAAACAATATGCACACAAGTTGCAAGCTAGGCTGGACAGCATTGACAAACAATGGCATCTGAGTCACGAATTGCCACAACTGCTGTGTTGCCACTGTGGTCAGACTATTTATTGTACTTTCACAAAGTGTTACAAGATAATAAAATGGAAACAAACGCATTAATATTCTATACAACTCAAGTATATACTCTTTTTGTAAAAAAAAATAAATTTTGCTAGGTGGCTCTAATAATTTGATCACCCACTGTAAAATTCCAATTATTACACAGATGGGGAGAGTTCTTTTTACAATTTGAATAAACTATGTTATTTATTATTTTTTCATGGTTTAGCAGCATAAATATTGGTATTTTTATTCATTTAACTAGATTTCATATTACTATTTTGTAATAGTTTTTCTTGTAATTTCCGATTTTTTCATGAATTTTTTCAAAATTTAATGGTTTTTTACATTTTTTAGTTTCCGAAACAAAATTCATAAAAAAAGCCTTTCTGTCACTTTTTTGGCAAGTCCAAAAAAAATTACAAAAATAGCCTTTTCTGGTTTACTAGATTTTTACCAGATTTTTTTAGAAGAGCAAGGAAACTTCAAATGATTTTACAACTTTCTAGCACGAATTAAGTTTAGAATGTCATGACATACCTTGTAGTATTATGAAATGAAACACTTTTCTATTATAAAATCGACTGCATTCCGTAGGGGTGGTTTTATCATTATATGACAGCCATCCATAATAGCAACAACTACACCATGGATTCCTCGATAACAAGCTTCAAAATCCTGCAAGTAATATTTTTTTTTTAAATCAATACAGTAGGAAAAGAATATTTGTGTTATTGAATGATTAAACATTTGTGTCCTTAAATTTGCAGTTTGTACACGATTTTGCATATAAGGATGACTGATGTATTGTGGAATCAGGCGTCCTAATTCCATAATTATTTGACTGAAAGTCTTATATCCAGAACTCTTCTAGAAACCAAATATATCCCCAGAAGCCAAAAAACTCTCAGGTACTACACTTAAGATCCAAATCGTAAATGTAAATTTTCTCCAATCAATCTCTGCAAATATATAAGAATGTAGACATGATGTTATTAATTTATCACCAAATTTTACTTTGAAAATAATTCTGGGCACATAGAAATGTACTCTAAATTAAATATCGGAATAAGGGGATTGGTGTAACACATTCCAAATAATTGAATTTGCAACTTGAATGGATAACTTAGTCCCGAAACACAAAAACTTTAAGAATATTATCAATATTATCAAGTCAAAGAATAAGAATATAGATTATTACCCATTTTAGTTGAGGTTAGAATAAATAAAAATAAGGGTGGACTACCTACAAAAACCATAGACAGTTGATATGTCTATGACAAAACAAGGCGAGGCCACAGAATTCTGTGGCGAGGCCAATGATGTATATATTTTACCATTGCTGTTCAGTGACATTTTATCTGGTGTTCATAGACAAACTAATCCGGTTTAATTTATTTACGGCAACTGCAGACATAATATGCACTATTTTATTCGTACTTTTAGTTGAAGAATAGATTAAATTATTTCAAATGCACTAAATTATTAATCTCTAAAAATTTTAATTACAGTTATCTGGTTCTGTCGTAGCTTGTCACAAATTTCTCAATTCGAGTCTATGTTTCCGTCTAAAACATGGCGTTCCCGTGCTGACAAAATTCAAAGGCGGCATCTGAGAGTGGGCATTCTGATTGTTTATTATTCTGTGGTAAAGTCCAGTTATGTAGGTTCTACATCCTACCTATTTTTTTCTATCAAAGGACTATCTGCCTTCAAAATTTTATAACTATAAATATTTGTATACAATTATTACTGCGTTGATTTGTTAATAAAATACGTTCTTTAAAAAACATTCGTGAAAAATTGCCTAACTAACTTTATCTACTTTAAGCACCGAACCACCCGAACAACGGTGCTTCCTTTATTCAGTGCTCATAATGAATTTGTGTTCCTAATCATAATTAAAAAGTTCTGTTGCAAAAACATTTACTTGATATTTGGTGATTAATACTAAAGAGAAGGTAAGAAATTATTTTCAACAAATATTATTACCTTAAATAGGTACTTTAGTTTTTAAGTATATTTTCATAGTCACCCTTGTTTTCAATCTTGGGTACTTCACATGAAAATCTGGTCATTGGTATTCACATAGTTGTCTCTCCCCTTACAAATTAGGTATGTTTTTAATCTAAACCTTTCAGTATTTTGGTCAGGCATTGTTTATTCGCATATAATTTATTTTATTGCATATTGCACTTTTATACCTACAAGGTGAACATGTATGGTGGTAGAAACTTCAGTATAAATTTTTTAGAATATAAAACCGTAAAATAGTTTCGAAACACAATTCAGATTTCCGCTTTAATCTGTGCTTTCTAAAAATTGCAAAGCAAAACAGACGTTGATAAAGGTGTTAAAAAGAATATGTTTGCGTGAATTTGCCTTTTCACTTTATAGAATATGTTTGCGTGAATTTTTTTACACAAAATAAAAAAACTGCAGGATATTATGAACAATGTTTTTAAAATCATGGTTTGCAAAGCTGATTGGTAATATTATTTTTAATTAATAAAAAACATATATTTCAAATGTATGCTGTTTGGAAGCATTAGTGTAGTAACTTGCTCAATTTTGTTTTAAGTGATTAGTTTCCACATTATTCATAATATCTGAATATTCTATTTACTATAGAAATGAGTGTGTTATTAATGAATGTTAATTTTTTATTGTTACAATTATTACTTTTTGTAACTTTGGTTAAGTTGACTGTTTTTATTGTAAGCTTAAATGGTGTCAGAGTTGCCATATCTTCAGTTTTCTCATACTCTCACATAATATTATAGAAATGCATTGAAATTACATATATAAAAATTCATAGATTTTAATTAAATTAAAGGTAATAATTAAATGCATATACAATAAAAACTCCTTCGGAAATTTACAATTTATGATTTACAAGTGTCATTGTAGCATGGACGTATAAATAAAGATATCTTTATTTATAGGTATCTTTATTTATAGGTCCATGATTGTAGGGTCATTCGCACCGGTTCTAATAGACAAGATGTGGAAAGTGCTGTCAAATAATTTACAATGTTTAACTGCATTTAAAGTAACATAAAATATTTTTGAATGCTGTTTTATACTTATTCAAAATTTGTATTCATTTATTTAAACATTCATTCAATCATCCTATATATTTTTTACAAAAAAAATGGCAACACTGTGATGCCGTGCCTTGAGGAAAATATATTTGGTTATGTTGAGTCATATAGATAAATAATAATAGTATATATTGTATAAATGATTATAGAAATGATTATTTATATATGTGTTGAGTGCTCTAATTCTAAACTACTAAATATTGCCCATGTTTTCTTATGCTAAACCATTTTTATGATTAATTTTGACTTATTAATTTGGTTCTGACTTTACATGGACTTTTGAAGTTAATTTGCAAACTCATTGGAAATTCCTGAATATGAATTCTTTTAGGTAATAAGTATACCTAGGTATTTAAAATTATTTGTTAATAACAATAATAATGATTTTCTTATTGGAAATTGTGTAGGTTAAAGATTAAATACATAGCAGTTTTTACCAAGATAAATGGAACACAGGTGCCACCAATGCTTATAAAGTGTATAGTTTCATCAAAGAATATAGACGCATTAGAGACGCATATGCGTCTATATGGTTTCATTATGCTGATGATGATCTTTCATAGCTTCCATACATTCTGTTGTATTATTAATATAATATGCCATCACTTATATATTTCAATATTATAAGTAGATACACTTCAGATTTATTTGTTCTTGCCATGGTTCTAAAAGTCTTCATCATCATAACATAGCGCTACAACCCTTTGTGGGTCTTGGCTGACTGTACAACTTTTTTCCAATTTGTTCGGTCTTCCATCAACTTAGGGTCAAATAGAATGTTCATTTTCTGGAGATCTGCTTGAATGTTATCTCTCCATCGCATTTTGGGATGTCCGAGTAGTCTTTTGCCTGTGGGAATCTCCTCTCATATCAGTTTTACAAGTCTTTCATTATGCAGTCTGTGCATGTGGTCTGCCCATCTTAGTCGCTGTGATTTAATTTCTTGGACAATATCGCCTCTAAAAGTCTTGCTTGCGATTATTTTCCAATTATTCATCTGTGTGAATTTAATTACATTTTTGATGCTGTTCTTATTCTTATTTTCTCTTCCTTCTTTTTCTTACCTTATTTGATGATTTCTGAATGAATAACCTTTCAGTGAACTGATGTGAATTATTTAAACATAAATGCTAACATCCCATCCATCTCCATGTATGACTCTCGTCATAAACTTTACAAATTTAATTACTTCAAGTGTCATAATCAATACAGTTTTATTTAAAATAAATATGGTTTTATTAAAAAAAAATATGGTTTTATTTAAAAATTATGTTGCTGGATGGTTCTATAATTGCTGCATTTCTGGAAATTGTCTTTTTTATGTACTGTTATTCATTATTGTAGATTTTCTCCAGTCGTCAGGCCATTGCTTGGAATGCCATATTTTCTTATAGAGCAAGTGAAGCAATTTTATTCCGGTTTCTTCTGATAGTTTAAAGATAAGATTCTGCTTTTCTACAGGTCTCTGTACAGATGTAATACACCTTAAAATTTTGAAAATATATTTTCAATGTCAGCAGTCTCGGAACCACCAGGTGTAATAAACTCTCCAAGTTATTTAAACCTTTTTGACTATTTCTTGTTGTTTTCTCATATCTTCTTATAGTGTCTTGCACCTATAGTGCATTGGCTAATTGTCTTAAGGGCAAACATCTGTCGTTGGCAGCATACAAAAGCTTGCCAGTGTTATTTATGTCTGTCCAGTTCTTTATATTACTTAGCCACATTTGCTTGCGACTTACTCCTCTCTTGTCCTCAATATTTCTTTGGATACTTAGTTGAGGGATGGCATATTTCTTCCTCTTAGGTTATGGCCTAGATGTTCAATTTTTCGTACATTTATAAAGTTGAGTAAAACTTTAAAGTTGAGTTAATGGAGGATATTTTTAACGTCCATGTCTCCATTCCTTTTAAAAATATTCAAAATACATATTATTTAACCATCTTGTAGCAGAGATTGAAGAAAATATTGCGGTTATGTAGTAGTGGTTTAAATTAAATAAAAGCTTGTCATTCTTGTTGGTTTTGGCATTTTATTTCTTTTTGATATCATTGGTCATTCACCATCATTCCCAAGTATTTGATTGTTTTCACTTGTTCCATTAGAGAATTATATACATGCAGTTGTACTCTTAAAAGTGCGTTTTTAAAGTATTTTCATATACAGGGTGTAACAAAAAGGTAGGTTATAAATTAAATCGCATATTCTGGGACAAAAAATAGTTCGATTGAATCTAACACCTTAGTACAAATGTGCACATAAGAAAGTGACAGCCTTTTAAAGTTAGAAAATTAAAATCGATTTTTTGCAATATATCGAAAACTGTTAGAGATTTTATATTGAAAATGGACATGTGGCCTTCTTATGGCCGGAATATCTTAAAAAAAGTAACAATGAAATTTGTACACTATAAAAATTTTATGGGGATATTATTGTGGTACCATTAGTTAAATAAAATGTTTTTAAAACTTTTTTGACAGTACTTTTTCAAAAGCCAGTTTTTATCCAGATCCGGCTTCTTTTTTAATATGTTTCAAATTTCCTGAGCACCTAACAAAATGTAAAATATAAATTAATTTTATTATTATTACCAGGTCTCTATAATTACCTCCATTTACTTGAATACACATTCGACACCATTTTAAATAGAAAAATCGAATATTTTGCAAAATCCTGAGCTTCTGACGAAATCAATTTCCAGGTTTCATGATTCTATTCCTTAGTTGTTGTTCGTTCATAATTTGTACGGAATATACATACTCTTTCATAAAAACCCAGAAGCAAAAGTCAATTGAGTTAAGATCTGCACCTTTGGGTGGCCAAGAAATTTCTTGTTGCGTCAGTGCGCCTATTAATAGGCGCATTAGAGCCCCTTCCAGTCGAACGTCCAGGATACTAATCGAAACGATTATAGTAATACTCTTATTTCATTATGGTAATGCACTGGAGTGCCATCCTGTAAAAACCACATGTTTTTCCTGACTGCGAGATTGACCCCGTTTAAGTACTCAGGTAACACGTTTTGTAGAAAGTGTAAATAATTTTCACCATTTAAATTGTTTGGAAGAAATACTGGTCCTATTAGGATAACCCCAATTATTGCCCAAACATTGACTTTAAAATTTCTTTGGTGATAAGGGACTTTTTTGCTTGGGGGTTTTCTTTAGCCCAGATCTGCGTGTTATGATGGTTCGTAATGCCATTTCTGTTAAAGATGCTTCGTCAGTAAACAAAACATGAGTAGTTAAATTGACATTTTGTGTGTTTTCCGTTAAAAACCAATCACAAAACCCCATTCTTTTGGGATAATCCTCATCCAGTAATTCTTGAGCGAATGTTAAGTGATAAGGATGAAATTGCTGTTCCTTGAACCTTCTCCAAATCATCATGTGACAAACATCTAATTGAGCCGCTACTACTCGTGTACTTCTTACAGGGATTTCTTTAATTGGTTCCAAAATCTCTTCATCGTTTGTATCTACTTTTGGTCGACCATTATTTCCAATAAGTTGGGGTCGCAATATGCCTGTCTCGTAAACGACGATCAATCTAAAGAAATAATCGTGTGCCTGGTGTATTTCGATTAAGATATTTTTCTGCATAACGCCTTACAGCTGCTGCACTATTCGCTTGGCATTCACCTGTAATTACCAATAATGGTCTAAAACCCCAATTTAGACTTATAAAACTTATCCAGAATTAAATGCATATTTGCGATTTCTGAAAACGTGTACACTATTGTAATAAAAAAAAATTAGTTTTTCTTAATAATCTTAAATGCACAATAATTGGAATATTTTTACTGACAATATAAATTGTTGATGCAGAATGTAACATAATATATCTGACGAATTAG